GGTCCCTTCCGACCCTAGAAACTATGAAACTATGAAAGAGGAAAAGATATGGAAATCAGTGATTTCATACTGATCTAAGGATGTGCCAACATTACAACCCAGAAGTATGATTGCTACTTGTGTTGACATATCCAAGATAGTTCCTGAGCTAGTTAGTTTAGAGCTAATAAAATATAGCTACTAGTAGCACCCAGTTTAGTGGAGGCTAGAGAACCAGTATGGGAACCTAGGTAGTCAAGTAGTCAGTCCAGGCTGACTGCCATGCTGCTTTGGTACACCATAAGCATTACCTGAGCAAACTAGTTTAAAGCTAACTTGAGCTTATCTGTGCAAACATTCTTCTGCTTTGTAGGGTAGACACTAGACACGGGAGGGTTGCCTGTAAATTCAGGTACATTTTACAGTGTGACATGGAAGCAATAAAAGTCAAGGCTGGCTGGTTTTACACATATATGAATGTCATCTGAAATCAAGGAGTTGATAGTCTTTTTCGGAAAGACTTTTGCAAAAGTCTATGTTAATGTTTAACTTCATTAGCCAGCTGTTTTCAGTTCTGGATATCTTGGTGTCAGAAAAAGCAGAGAAGGGCAAAAATAATTAGGGATTGGTCTAGGAGGAAAATTCTGAAAGCCCTAAATGTGGATCTTTTGGCTAAGTTACTAATAGGTAAAGTATGCGTGTGTGTGTCGGGGGGGAGGGGGGAATGGGATTGCCTGTGCCTGGATGTGACCTGGCACAGCTGATCTGCTTCACTGAATGAATCAAGTCACACATTGTCCCACCCATTGATTGGATCACGTGAAAAAATGGGTGAGGTATTCCCACAGGCAGATCTAGGATTTGAAAAGGGGTGGGGAAAGGAGGGGCAGATGATGTGATGCATCATCATCACATAGTATACAACACATTTTTTTTTCTCTCCAGTTAAAAAGAACCTAGAAGTTTACTAAAATGGTAGGAACCTAGGGCTGTATTATTCAGTTCAAGACTGAAGCAAAAATGAGTGTAACTTTATTGGAACATGCATTAATTTGCTATAATGCCTATTATATATAAAAACAGAACAAGCTAGGTAAAAATAATCAATAGATGCTATTTCTTTAGCCCTGTTGTAATTAGAATTATATGTACATCTCTTTCAGATTCATAAAATATAATCTAGACTTTAGCATTTTGGCACAACTTCCAGTGAAGCACTGGATACAGTTTCCATACCTGAGTTGATATTCACCTAAGTTACTGTTTCCATACCTGAATTAATGCTTTTATCTTAACTTAAAAACAGTTTGCAGGGCTGTGAAAAAGAAGCTATATTAAGAAGACTGTAGCTAACAGACAGCAAACTTGCAGAAGAAAGAATAATTTGATTGGTGGAACATTAAGAGCATTAAAAAGGGAGAGAGGGTCATTAACCCTGCAGAATGATGTGTTTAGATAGAATCAGGTAGATTATAATGAGCCATGAAATCAAGTGACTCCCTCACTGTTGCCTGAATAGAAATGCTGCTGCCACTGTCAGGCAGTCAGTTTTAAACTTTGGATGGACCAGGAATCAAAGGTGGGGTGTGAATGCACCACTACACTGCCCCCACCAGATCTATCCATGGGTGTTCCCTGCCTCCAGAGACATGTTCCCCGTAATCTCTAGGGCACATCTCTGGAAGCAGGGAAAATCAAGTTTCCCCACTTAAAGGCCCTGGATATTGCTGGGGATGCATGTCTGGAAGTGGGTAACCATGACTTTCTCTGCTTCTAGAAATGTGCCTTAGAGATTGCTGGGGGCAATTCCTGGGGCATACAGGACTGAGCTTCTCAAGCCTTGGGAGTCCCTGCCTGGGGCAGCTGGAGACTGTGGGCAACTCCAGGCTTTCCTCACAATGTCATAAAGCAAATAGATGTCCATTGCAATCAAGTGGCACAAATTACTACTGCCTCTCACTTCGCATTTGTGGCACGACAAAGGATATGGACATCTATTTGCTTTTGCTTTGTGCCACCATGAAAAAATGTTTATGGCAGGACAAAGGCAACAAAAGGTAACAGCTTGTTTCCATCTTTTGTGTTTATCTATGGTGGGAAAACAAGTGGCATTTTAATACATGCTAATTAGTATTTTAAAACCTCAGTTAGCATCTTGACGAAGATAGTCATGTTTAAAAATGTTAAACTGGAGGGCTAAAAATGCTCTCATAATATATTTTTTAAGATGGTTGATTTATATTACATTTTAACTGAATATATTCTTAATATGTTTTACTTGACTCGTGATTGTCCAGACAATTTTAGACTTCAGATATACTTTTGCTACCACTCTACATCATTTTAATTTTTTAGTTTGCATATGTTTTTTTCAAATGCTGTGAGACTAGTAGTCAGGTTTCTGCTTACCTCAGATTATGAAAAAGTTTTAAAATTCAGTTTACTACAGCAATGCCTTGTTAATTAGGTATTGAATAGTTTAGAGTATCAGATATTGTCATTCCCCAGCCAAAAGAATAAGTTTTTGTATGCTTTACAATATGGATAATTCAAAACGTGGTTACTTTGAAATTTGAAGCCATTGTCTGGTCCCTTGGACCAGGAAAACCATAGAATACTTGGCACAAAGCGAAGGTCCATACTGGGCAAACATGGTGGTAGGAACTGTTTGTTTTTTGGGTTTTTCTGTGGCCCTTAAAAAAACCAACAGGCTGGTGTTCCCTTTGCAGGGAACTGGCAACAGGCCTGGAGGCCCTGCAATATCAGGTTGGCATCAGAGGGGCCAGAGCCAGCCCTGAGACCCACCCCTTGGTGTCAAAAATGTTAAAACTCAAGATGACAAGGTTTGAGGCACAAAAAATACAGAAGGCCCAAGCAAGGGGCTGTCACCCTCTGTCTTGGACCGCCTCAAGACACCCATACTAATTTGCATATATTCAAACCAGTAATGGTACATTTACTTAGAACCCATTTATTTCAAAGTCAGCTGTTTTTGTTTCCCTGCATCTCAAATTAATGAGGTTTTACTGTATCTAGCTTTCTTTGCTCTGGGAATGTTCTGGAGGTCTATGGAAATGATTTTCTTAATTCATCAATTCTATTTGAAAAATCATGTGAAGAAATGGTTTGGCAGTGAAGTGTCAAACACTTCCAGAAACAATGCTTTTGTGGAACAAACCCTGAAACATATAACACTCCTTTGGAAATAAAGCCTTGTAAGTATTTCAGCTGTCATGGGGACTTGAGAATAATGTATCTATGACCCCAATTGACGGTGTCTTCATTTGACATTTTAACTGTTAGCCAGACCCAGTGCAGTCACTGGAATTAACTCACTTATATATTACCTGAGGAGGTGCCCCTATGTCTTCTAAGATGAAGAAATGGGGATAGTATGGTTTCTGGGTGTTTAACACCACTCCATTGCTTACAAAAACTTTTCATCTTGCATCACAAGACTGTATTTATTACTGCATTTCCTCCCTTACAGCTTGGCTTTTGGCAAACTTGTTTCTTTTGGTTTCTTGCAGGTGTGAGTGTTGCTTTCTGCCCTCTCCTCCTGTCCAACATCCTGCCTTTCTCTCGCTGCAGTTTATGTAGGGAACCACCATGAGGGAAATGATGAAAGTAAGATCATATATATATAAAAAAAACAACAAACCTCATTATACTGATAACTGTGCTGTTTCATAGTTATCCCAGGCCTATCAAAGTCAGTGAGTCTTTCCATTGACTTTAATGGCCTTGAGAACTGTTCCCATTTGGAGAGCTGCATTAGTGTGCATAGTAAGCATATGACCACCCGTGTGGTATACAGGCATTCATTGCAGCTGATGTGATATACTTTGGACTGTGAGAAAGTTGCAGAAATGATTTTTTGGGTTTCAGTAAAAACAGCCTGATGTTTGACAGAAATGAAGCATATGTATGTTCTTGTATTCCAAGAGAGCCCTCTGCTGAATTCTTTGTGTATCCAAGTTTTCAGTGTAGCTAATGATATTCTTTGGTGCATGAGGAATACAGCATATTACTGGTAGCGTTTAACTAAATTACACACACTGAGAAGAAAATATCCGTTAAAGAATATGATATCTGTCAACAAACTTAAGCTTCTTCTTGGCTATTTAAATATCCTAATTTTTTATTGTCTTTAATCTTAAATAGCACAGTCCTCTGTGTTTGCTCTGGAGTGGAAGAACATAATATACTGCCACATTAAACTAGCCCCTAAGCTAGGCTGTTACAGACAATTTATACAGGTTTCAAGGACACAGCTGACAAGTTAGCCTTGTATTTCCTATGTGAATGGTGGTTATTGTCTTGATAAAAGAGCAGAGAATTTATAAAAAATAATGGGCAGACAGAATCTAGAAGGTATTTTCCAGACTATTATTTTAAGATGATGTAAATCTAATTTTTAGGAATAATGTGTTTTCAGTTTTCCAGATTGGAACCAGTAAATTTTAAAGGGATTAGGCTGATGTGGGACTTGTAGATCTCAGTAGATGACTAGAACCATCCAGTGTGAGTTTGAATAAAATCTCAGACCCTGATTTTGCCTTGGGACCAGAGATCCTTCAGGGATTTACTGAAGTTGGTAATGGTGTAGGGTTCTGTGTTTATAGATCTTACTCCAGGGCTGTGGCCATTTTTACTTATATAACAATTTTATTAAAATATTTAAAAAAGCGATCTATGGTATTACAAAGATCTTTGAATCATCTTGGATAAGTTAAAATCAAACTTAGACCAGTAGAGTGATAATAAACCAGATAAATCAATAGCACCAATAAAGGTAAAGCATTCTGAGCTCATATAAAAAATGAGACTGATCTTCAGGACTGGCTGTTTTACACCCAGTACAACCTAGGATCAAAGACTGCACAGCTGGCTATAAGCTGATTCCCTTGGGCTGTTAAATACTAATTCCACTCCAAAGAAGAAATGGTTTTCTATTGCACTAACTGGCTTCAGAGTCAGACAGGGCCGTAGGCACTAATAGGTGTGCGTGTGTGCGTGCGTGCATGAATGCGCATGCGTGCACACATGCATACTTGGCCTGGATATAGACTACTGGAGGAGTCAGGTAAATAAAGGGATCTTCAGTTACTTACCTTAACTAGTCTTAAACCTGCTTTGTGGTACCAGAGTAGAACAATGAATGCTTAACATGATATTAGCTGCTTAACTTAACTGCTTCATTGTCCTTTCTCCAGAGCACATAACTTGGTGCATCCCTTTTTTCTAAGCGTATTAGATCTTTTCTGAACAGCAATTTATTAAAATACAATTCTGAGAATTTCATTTGGACTCTTAGAATCATAGAGAAAAGTGGGGCTGGAAGGGACCTGAGGGAGTTAGATAGCCCCATCCCCTGGCCAATGCCAGATCATCCCTATCCGTTCCTCATAATAATGTAAAATAGGAGAGTATTGAGCTTTAAGTCTTCTCTTAGTTTATAAATAACTGTTTAATACTCTTTTTTAAAAATATTTATGATTAGTGGCATATTTTAAATTTTATATAAACTAACATGCATACTTAGTAACTGATTTTTTTTATTGTCTACAATACACAATACAAGTATGTAAATCAAATATCAGATTATAGCTGAGATATTGCATGCATAAGTGAGTATCATGATGACATTAAGCAGGGTTCTCATTGCCAGTAAACCCTGCATGCATTTATTGGATTTATGTATTTAATATTAAATTTTATTAGTACTTGCACTGGGGAAAAGTTATGATTGCTGAGACAGCTTTTTAGTTTTAAATGTCTGAAACTTTACAGGTGTAAGCTCTTAGCTATAATTATCTTTGTATTTAGTATGTTATAGATGTATGAAAAGCTAACTTTTGTCTGTTACAGGCTTTATCATGTTGTGTATTGGATCAGGTATACTTACTGGCTCCAAAAAAGACCTCAACTATGTATTTCAAGTCAAAAGCAGTCATAAACCACTTATCAGACAGAGTGAAACATGTATTAAGCTATGTAAGTATAATTCTGCTTCCTTTCTTAGCTAGGTGCCTCTAATTTTAATTTTGAACTGTGGTTCTGGTTTCAGTAAAAAGAAAATGAAACGGTGAAGGTTTTACTCAGCTATTTTTATAGAGATTTTCCTGGTGCCTTGGTTACAGAGCCAGCTATTCAATTGGTATAAACTAGCCTAGTTCCAGAGAAATGCTATAATAATTTACACCAGTTGAGGTTCTGATCCACCATTTCTGTAGTATTTTTCTTGTACACAATGATTAGTAAACTAAAATAGTATTTAAAAGAAAAGGGCCATCTTAGGAAAAAGTCTAATTTGTTAACAGTCAGCATCAAAACTTGAAAATGTTACTAAAAGTTTTTTAAATTGGGTAAAGTAATTATGAAAATATATTCAGGTCCAATAATTTGCTACCATTCTGTTAATTTTTTTTGGTTTCCAGAATTTTGTACCATGAAGATGCCACCATAAATGTTAGAAACATTTATATAAACTAATTAAAGCTAATTAAAATTGGAATAAAGTAAAGAAAATCTCATTTTAAGTTTATCAGAGTAGAAGTGGGACACACAATTGCTGGGACAGTAGACCACGCACAAGCAAAATGCAGTGAAATATGTAAGAGTCTTCGCATCCCCAGTAGTGACAGAATGGTGGTTATTTTTTAATTTATTGATTATTGCAATTATAAAGAACTGTTGATTCTTTAAATATTGTTGTTAAAAGCTCATGTAGCTATGAAGTTTGCTCTCTGAATGTCATATTAGTGAATGTGCTTTTGTGATAGTATTAATAATAGACCAACAAAAAAGTATCCCATCACCTGTTGCAGGTTTTCATTGAGGTTTCTAACTTTGAAAAACAACCAAGCAAAATAACTTTTCTCTGTCAGTACAACAAATTACTGACTGGTGCACATAAGGTATAGTTTACTCTGTAGACTTCAGTACAGTTTAGAGATACATGAGCTAGTTTTAAAGAAGCTAGTTCAAGTATCAGAAGCAGTGTTGCTGTGATAGCATGAATCTCAATACAGACTAATTTACATGCCAAGAAACCAAGTGATACTGCCATGGCTAGACTGCTTCTAGTGTCTGAGGTAGTTCATTTGTAGCACAATGCAAAGATTCTTGAGCTAGCTGCAATCTGTAGCATAGACAATACCCAAGCTTCCTAAGTAGTGTAGAAAAATACAGAGTATTATATTCCATGTGGTACTGATATCATACCACAAGGCTTAAACAGTTTTATTAGTGGGGCACAAAACAAGGAGAGAATATAGTGCTAAGTTATTACATTGTTTTCTTTGCTTGCTTTCTTTTTATAAAAGTGTAAGTAATTAAATACAGTTGTTGAATAACTGTGAATAAATCACTTTGGTATTACTTTAGCTATACAGTGACATATAATATCTGAAAAAGAGATTCCTTGCATATCTTTTGGGTTTCAGTTATGGAGAAGAGTGTTCATTGTCTGTCTGCCCTTCTCTCCCTCTTCTCCCCCTGGCAGGGGAGCAGAAAGAAGCAGCTGTATGAGATGCTGGAAGACTGAGTAGTAACCCTGTTGTGCTCCATGGATAGGCTTGGCAGGATTTGATTTTTGGCAGTAAACATTGATAAATGTCAATTTCACCTCCCACTCACAGACGGATGAAAAAATATTATTACAGAACTGTGCTGACTGTAGTTTGCACTGCAACTCCCAGAAACCTTCGGGGCCTGGGAACAAAGGAAGAGGAAGTGACAAAGCACATGAGGAAGCTAGTGGCTAGTGGAGCCAGGACTGATGGCAGCTCTGCCACTCAGTTGGTGTATGTTTGTCATTAATAAATGTTTGTTAGTAGTTGTGTGTCATTAACAAATTGTCTTCCCCCATATCCCTAATTTAATGCAATCCTGATAATTTAAATTGGTAAAATTAAAAAGAAATGCTTAAAAATAAACACTGATATCTATCAAAATTACTGAAAAAGAAAAAAAAAAACATTCTGCCAAGTCTATTCATGGAGCATACACATGTAACTAAAAGTGCTTCAAAATGAAGTGTTTCAAAGAGGTTTCCATGGGGGAAAAAAATTGGATCAACAAGAGGATCACTTGCAAATCAAGGGAAATGATTCTTCCACTCAATTCAACACTGGTGTGGCCTCACCTGGAGAACTGTGTGCAGTTTTCACCCCACACTTTAAAAAGGTTGTGGACAGTACGGAAAGGGTCCAGTGTCGAGCAATAAAAATGATTAGGGGTCTGGACTTTGAGGAAAGGCTGAAAGAACTAGTGTTATTTAGTTTGGAGAAGAGAAGACTGAGGAGGGATTTGTTAAGTGTTCTAATATATGGAGGCTGATTAGAAAGAAGAAAGAGGCTATTCTCTGTGGCCATAGAGAGCAGGACTAGAAGCAATGGCCTCAAGAAGCAGCAGAGGAAACTTAGATTGGAGATTAGAAGGAATTTTCTGACTATGAGGGTAGTCAAACACTGGAATAGGCTACCTAGAGAGGTTATGGAGTCTCCATTCCTGGAAATGTTCAAGAACAAGTTAGACGGACACTTGCATGGTTAGTCAGGAACAATCCTGCCTTGAGCAGGGGGCTGAACTAGATGACCTTGTGAGATCCCTTCCAGCCTTTCTTTCCTATGACCCAGGGTCATTTTTAGAGCACTTTATAGGATGTGAGCTTCTACCTGCTCACCTTTTCTTTTCTTTTTCTCTTTTTTTTAAGGCTTCAATTATTACATGTTTAGGACCTAAATGACTGTTGTGTTAACTTCATCAACATTTCCAGCTTTCGCAGCTTCATATTCTATTAAAGCCCATAGTTTCTTAGTATTTTTATGTAAATAATATGTCCTTTTTTCTTCCTTCCTTCGTGATAAAATGTGCCCAGGTAATCTGTAAGTTTGTAAAAGGGTTTGATATTTAGGTAAAATTTATTATACCACATTTTATTTAAAGAATTTGAAGAATGAATTAACTGGAGTTACAAATTATTTTTCTCTTTGTAGATTTAATCTGAGGGAACCACAAAGAGGTTATGAAATGCCAGCCCCTGAGAAGCTATCCAGTGCTATAGTTTGGCAGACTCCTGAAGCATTAGAAAATCACAAATTCACATTCTGTGAGGCCATAGTACTTCTCTAGGAATCTGGCAATTATTACATCTGGCAGTTAATACATTTAGTAAAGTGCTGCTAGGGAGGTTTGGCAGGGATTGCATCCTTTTGAGATGTGGAAATTTTTAAAGCAAGCTATAATTTTCTTGTCAATACATATCAACACATTCACACTTGCATGTACCAAATGAGTGCTTGGTACAGAGAGGAAAACTACAAAGAGTTTTTCTTCCCTGATAGGCTTTCTATAATAATGAACATATTAGTGTAAATATTCCAAAGGGAAGTCTGTGCAAAGACTATTCTTTCTATTTCATTTTGAAAGGTACACATGCAAGGTAAAATGCATTCTCCTTCTAAAAATATCTATAGGAGTACAAATGTTCATGTACTTTCTCAATATTCTTCTTGGGGGTTGTATTGCTGTTGGTATATATAGATATTTAAATGTATACTAAGAGTAGTTCTCTTCCATGCATATTAATCTCCAGGATGGGAATATATTCCTACATATTTGACTCAACACCATGACATTAACTTCCCCTCTCCTTTAAAACTAATCTCCCATGTTTGTTTTTTGTTTCAAGTCTTGTGGCTACTTGTTGGTATGGGTTTGCTAGGATTAGGACTACGATATAAAGCTTATGAGAAGAAATTAGGTCACGGGGTGAGTAATATGTTTCCTTTTTAACAAAATAATATATTTCCAGCTTTGGCAGATCCAGGAGAGAATCGGGAGGAGGGGGCACACCCCACCTTGGTTGTGCAGTGCATGCACAATGAGCTCTATGAACTCACTGGCTTTTCAGTTTAACTCTGGGACGCCAAGGATGAATGGTGCTGCCACTTCCTCCCTGCCTTTCCCCTGGCACTGAATTCAGCAGTGGGCAAGGGGGTGGGGGAATGAGGGATGTTAAACAAGATTTGGGGTACAAAATGCCTATTTTCAGGTTCGGAAAGAAGCTGAGGAAGGACCTGGGAAAGGAGGATATTTTTTCTATCCAAAAGCTTGAGGAGGAAATGATCAGGGAGATGTTCAAATGACTTCTCTTTGAGAGAAAACCTTTCCTCACCCCTCTCCTCCTTCCCTGATGAGTGTTTATGAGTTTTATACACCACTGTGTAGTGAGGAGGATAGGGATATTCCCCAGGGGTTTAGTAGAGCACTTGCATAATTTATGGTGGTCTATGAATAAGGGCACTAGTTTTAGTTAGGGTGACACAGAGTTATCTTCATCAAAGTAGAATTTAACCTGAGAAGTCTCAAAGAAGTTTGAGTGCTTCTCTAATAGTATTGCAGATAGTCACCCCAGTGATGACTAGGTATGGCATGACCTAAGTATGTGTAACAATAATTAAGCAAAAATTGTATCGAGGCGCACACACTCTGGTTTCAGTAGAATCTGTTCAGATTTTCTCCTGAGTTGGGCAGTGTTGACTTGTTGGTATGTATGGTATGCAACTGCATCAGTTTCATACTATGCATGCATCTAAACTTACAAATACCTTTCATAGACAAGCCTAGGAACTTCACTTCATAAACCTACTGGATACAAAAAATCATGGATTCAATATAGACATTGGATTTATGACACGTTACAACCTGCCTGACATCTGATTCACCAGGTACCTGCCAGACCTGACCTTTTACACTTTTCTTTCCTCCACCCTACTTTTCTCCCCTGGTCTCTCCTCCTTTGTTGCTCTTTGTCTTCCTAATTTCCAGCTGTTTCCTTCTTCACAGACAGCCTCTTTTATTACCTTGAATCACTATTATTGTAGAGTCTCCTTGACTCACCTTTGGCTTTTTTCCCCTTGCCTTCCTCCTCTGCCTTCCCTGTTTTACCTTTTGTTTTCCTAATTTTGTACCTATTTACATTTTCACTAACATCCGGTCACACTGTTAGCTTCTCTCATTCCTTGGAGTCTCAGAACAGCAGAGACTTGCTATGCCTGAAGAAGGGTGACTGTGTCCAAAAGAACTTGTCTCCAACTACTCAGTTGGTCTAGTAAAACATATTGCATCTGCCCAAAGAACCTTGCCTGTTTATGTCCTTAGACCAACACAGCTGCAACCAAAAACCCAGCATCAGTTTCATTTTCATTTCCAACCTTCATAAATCACCATCCCTGAGAGGGTACCATGCTTATGTTCTCTTTGAATAAGGTAAGAAGTTTGGTTAGACTGTAGGATTTGTCTACTTAGAAAGTATTTTGTTTAAAATTAGATTAGACTATTTAGAATGAATTCCTTCCCCCACCACCCCTGCAATTAATCTTTGATTCATTTGATTAAAGTTTTGTGTTTGAACGCTGCCCTAACTGCAGCTTGGCATGAGGTTGATGTGATGTTGCATTGCTAGTATGTGTAATTGTGTAATATTGCAGAGAAAAACTGCACTAAAGCTGGCACAAAGACAGACCTACTGTGCTGCCATATAGGAAAACTAGTCTTGTTTTCCTGAAAAAAAAACCCTGAACTCACGGATTCATTTATACCTTTATAAAGTTCACTCTAAATGGAGCATCTCTGACAAACTACTTAATGTGCCCTTCTTAACTGATTCATTAAGAAGATTTGATGAAATTGGAGGATCCCAGATTCCTACCTGGCCAAGGAGTTGTCAGTTATAGTAATAGCCACAACTCTGAGAGAATTCTTTTGATACTAACATAGTTTAGTATGTAGATTGCTTCCTTCAAGTGTTGAGTATTCTCAACCTGAAATTAGACCTGGTTTGACTGGAAACACTGTTAACTTGACATGTTTCTGTTATGTGGCTGGAGAAGTGTCACAAAACCATGTTTCTGGCATAGACAATTGAAATTATGGATTAGAAATGTGCTTTCTTTGGCCATCCACAAATATTAACTCAATGCAGATATTCATTCCTAAAACTGATTTTTCTACCCTCATTCTTATTCATGTTATTACATTTATATGTGGAGCCACATTTAAATGTCATGACTTCAGCTCTTCTTTCTGTGCCATTAAAATATCTATATACCTCCAAATGACTACGATGGGACAATGTTCTGATTAAAATGTTTATTCTTAGACCTGTGGTATGCCACCTTTATAACTGATGCTACAAATCAGATGAAAAGACATAATGGAGCTTGCATGGTTTTATTTATTTTTGTTCTGTTTTGATTTTTTCAGCATCCAAAGAGGGATTTCTCTGCTATGGTCTGGCCTTTCAGGTTTGGTTATGACAATGAAGGGTGGTCTAACCTGGAAGGGTCAGCTCTTCTGATTAATCAAACAGGTACTTCTTATGTCAACATTATTTTTTCTCTGTTTCAGTCTTAGTTTCTCTCCCAGCAACTTAGTTTATACTATTATATCCTACAAGGTAGAATCCTACAATTGAGACACTGAGCCACCTACTGGTCATCAAGTCCCCTCTTTTGCTAAGGCAAAACTGTTCTTTAAGGCAGCAGTTCCCAGACCCTGACAGATTGCACACCACCAATTTAAAATGATACAACCTTAAGTACCAACTGGAAAAAAATTCAGTTCAACCTTAAGTACCATGAGCAAATTTTTGTCATATAAAGTTATTATAATAAATTTGTTCACACATACTACTAACAGGTTGTCTGCGTACCACTGGTGGCACACATACCACAGATTGGGAACCATTGCTTTAAGGCATTAGAAAAAGTGTTTGATTTATACTTGTGTATATATAGCTATTGCAGTCCAATCACTTCAGTGGCATGGTTAAAAATCCATTTACATTCAGCAATAAGAGAAAATTACTTCACTCTGTGTTAATGGTATTTCCAGTTGGAAAGGGCTCTTAATTAACCTCAGTTTTTTTTTTCTTGAAGTAGAAAAGAATGACTGTCCAAACACATTTCTGTAAGCAAAATATTTGGCACTCTTACTTATAGGAAACTTTCTGAGGCCCTCATGGATTCAATTTGGCTTTCAATATGCTGTTTTTGGCTTGTTTTTGATTTAACTTTTTCATGATTTTTATTTTCATTCTAATGAAAACAAATTTTAAACAAATACTCCTCACAGTGTGCAAACTGCATCTTATGGTGCTGCATAGTTCCCTGAGGACTAAAAAGGAATTATACCCTATGAAATTAACTCATTTTCTGTTGATGATGAGAAATTAATAAAATAAACAATTGTAAATAGTAGTTGAGAGCTGTAATTATGATGTAATTATTTTGGATGTTACGCTTTATGACTTTGTTAGGACATTGCAATTTCCTCTTTCGATAATATACAGTTGTATGTTTGGATTGTCCCTTTTGTTTCTATGAAAGGGTCTAAGATTAGGCTATATATATATGTGAGAGTGGGTATATATATATGTGTTACTTTCTTTGTAGCACTGTTCTTACAGAAGCTCCTCTGGAGTGGCACTAAAGTAATTAGGAAAGTGTTATGTCGCCATTCCACTTAGCATTATGATGTTTGTTCTCCTTCAGTTTTTCCCTTGAACAAGCATTGGTTTAAGGTCAGTGAGGAGTGAAGATAAATTGGTGTCTTGGCTCCATTAGGAGTTTTGCTGTCATTATGAGACAGGGTCCAGGAAGCAGTGAGGAGTTGATTCTAATCTCTGCTATGTCCTGATACTTCCATGATTAATGGGGCTGAACTCTTGGCTCACTCTGTAGGGGATCCCCAGCCTTTTAAAAACACAGTTTGGAGAGCTCCATGAATTAAAACTTGGGATGTTTCCTGTCCTCTTAGTTTTTTTTCCTGCAGATATAACAGTATAGACCATGATATTTTTTTTAGCTGGAAGGGTCTACATAAGAAATGTATTTAGGGTTAGCAAGGCAGCTTCAGAATCTACATTGTGCTGAGGAGAGAATCAAACCCAACAGTACAGAAAAACTTTTCCTACTGGCTGTCTGCTGTGATTGCAGGCATCTCCAAATACACACAGCAACATGCTGGAGGAGCTGGCCTGCTGTCTACTTAGTGTAACTATTTAAAAAACTGACTTTTGTCTTTTATAGCTCCCAAGTGTGTTTTTTTTTTGTTTAGTTTTTTTCTTTTAAATTTTGTAATTGTTTGGGCTGATCCTGTTGTTTTGGGATAAAAACCAAGGAATTGTTCAGTCTTGAATATGATTCACATTTACACTTATCTAACATCAATAGTTACAAAGGGCACATATACAAGTCGTCCTATGGTGACATAGCAATGCTCTACAGCAATGTAGCAGTCACGTGGGTCTACACGTGATAGGCAGCTATGTCACTGTAGCGACGTGCTCCCCTGTTATAGCATGCCACTATGGCAATGTAACAGTGAAATCTAACTGTGCCATGTGCATGGTGCAGTTGGGTGGTTAGGAAGTACTAAAGCATGGCGCCATAACAATATTGTGGTATGACAACGTGTAGATATGCCCAAAAATTCCTTACAGTTTTTTAGAATTTAATTTCATTGTTTCACAACACCCATTAACTAACTTTTTTTTATTGTAGTTAGCATAATTATCTCGCCTACTGAAGATCAAAGTCTCTCTCTTCACTCTAGTAAATTAATACTTTAAAATGTTGACCATTATTTGAAAATATTTGACTGATCAATTAAACAAGTATTTTTTGACTGGGCAAGTACTCGCCCTACAAGCAGAAATGACAGGATTAGTTATTTACTTTATTTCCTCTCAACATTAATTTTTACTAGTGAAATGTTATTTCTAAATATAACAATTCAGAAGTCAAAAAATAGTAAGAATTTTTGAGGCAAATTCTAAAAAAAATATTCATTTCTAACTGTTAGACACAATGTCCTCTTTGTAACTTTTATATTATCTTTGTATGTTAATATAAACATAAATACCTGATAAAGGATCAAGCATTACCTTGTACCTGGTAAAGTAATTGCCTAGAAGTGAAAATATCAGTTTCTCTTTGCAAACCATCTGAGCTACTATTTCCTCTTCCAGTATTTTTATCACACTGGGCGTGTCTACATGAGGCATCTTAATGCACAGTGGACTATTCTACTGTGCATTAGTGCATCACAGCAAAAATCATGCTAATGCAGAGTATAATTAATCTACTGCACATTAAGCGTCACAAAAAAGCATTTGCCTTCGCTACTGCACATTAGCACAGCTACTGTGCCTTTATCTAGTACCTCGTATTAAAGGTACTAAACTTAATGTACAGTAGCAAAAGCTCATAAGTGAACATGTGGATGCCCCCACTGTTAAATAATATGCTCCAAAAGTGAAGTAAAGCTACAATTCCATCTTGTGGAGGGTGTTATTAAGAAATTACTTGGTGGAAGCAGCCCTTGTTTGAGATGGCAACACTCCTTTCCTTGTAGTTGATCAGATTCAGAGAATACTTCAATTACTGGAAGAGAGAGGAAATCTTATATTGCATTATGTACTTTGGTCACTATAGGAGTGGTATAAACTGGTGCTACACAAATCCCAGTAGGGTCAGAAAGATGCTTATTGATTTTTATATTGATATAGTTACACTTTTTAAAACATTTTTGTCTACTAGGTGCTGACTTCATTACCATTATAGAGAGTGATGCCTCCAAGCCATTCATGGGAAATAATGATCCAACAATGTGGTTAGGAGAAAAACTGGGTTTTTACACAGATTTTGGTCCAAGTACAAGAGATCACACTTGGGGGTGAGTTGTCTTTGGATACAGAAGGCATGGGTCATTATTATAGACCTAGATTTAAAAAAAAAATGCCAATTAAAATGCCATATGCTTTAATAGCAGAAGATCACTCCAAGGCAACTGAACATAACATACAGCCCTGGGTTTTTCAAAAGTGGACAAACGAACCCTCAGAAAGTTCACAGAATTAATGTAACTAGAATTTGAGAACAATATGCACTAAGTTCCTGGCTGTAAAACTTAAGGAAGATGAATGTTGTACTGATTTGAAGGGCCAGTTTTCAAATTCTGCATTCTGAATTCTCCTACCCATTGCAATGTAGTGGAAGACATTCCTACCAGCATGCAGTCTGGCTACATTTCAATGGGCAATATTCCAAACAGTATAACTGGCTGGTATTTCTCTTCATTACGTTTTGCTCCAACCTGTGATTTAGGCTAAAAGGGCAGGATAAAACTGGAGAATGTAACTATGCTTGACTAGCAGTTTTGATTATCTTAAGTTAAATCCAGCTTGGACTGTACACAAGGAAATGTGGAGAAAGAGTAGTATTCATATGTTTTGTGGACAGCTCTTTATTACTTCTTGATCAACTACTAGTCAGGTGTGTTTGAAGATCTTTGCTGTCTCAAAGTAACACTTTAAGACAGGACGGTCTAACTGACAACACATGGGCTGTATGCAGCCTGCAGGGGATTAAACTGAGATCCTTGGGCTCCCCCTCCTTCCCCCCCTGTTGCTCTGGCTGCTGCTGCAGCTGAGGTCTCTGGACTCTCCCTTCCTCTTCCAGCTTCCTCTTCCTTCCCCTGCCCCAGGGGGTGGGGTGGTGCAACCTGCAGTGGCTATACAATCACCATCAATCATATATGTACAGCAGGGGAGCCCATGGCTGAGGAGGGAGGGGGAGGGCACATTCCCACCTATGCATATGGTGCAGCTGTAGGGGGGCCACACAACCTTCTACTGAGAGTGCAGTGTCACGGGCCGGGCCCTACGAGCGGCCGTGATCTCGCTAGCACCCCCTGCCGTGCCAAATCAGGAGCTCTAGCACCCTCCAATTCTCACC